GTTTCAGGAAATTATATGTACTCTTCTGATTCCCAAGGATTAAACTTCTGTTGGTTTTCTAATCCTTACATACTGAGGACGCGCTTTACCAAGACCGGAAGCGCCGCCCAGTCAATACTAATTTAATTCAGTTACTTTGAATTTATAGCTTTTGCTATGAAAAATACCAAATATATTGTTAGCGGTTGGCTTTTAACTCGTATGCCTGCTTATGTACGGTTTAGACTTCTTTTTTTACTCTCTCCTAGAAATACTGACAGAAGAATCTGCAGAATATGACTCGCCGGTTAGACAATGTACGTATGCAGCTCTGACTAACATTACAGACTTGATTCTTTCCCAGTGCATCAGGACAAAAAAACTTCGGTTTAAGGGGGAACCTTTAAAGATGGCATTTACACAAAGATTATAAAAGAGGGACCACACAAAGACTTCATCACGACTATAGGCGCACATGGGGTCACGAAGGGAAAAAAGGCCAATAGATATTATAATTATTATTAATTCACAGAAAACTTGGAATGAGATGCGAGAAAACTCCAAAACTGGGCTAGATAAATTTTTAGCAACTGGAAACTCAGAAAACAAAACAAAACAAAAAAAGAAAAGAAAAAAAAATAAAAGAAAGAAATAAAGAAAGAAAGAAAGGAAGAAAATTATCGATAAAACAGCTTATACATAAGATGGATATGACAAATACCGCCGTCTAGACCTCTCAATTACTGCTGCGCAGGGCAAGTACTAAAAATTCTGTAGTATAGTATAAAAAAAAAAAGAAAGAAATTAGTAGGGGAAAAGATGTGTCGTACTTTCACAATTGGAGCCATGTATGTGTTCCACTCATCATGAAACTTCATGTACGCAACAGTCCATTTCCCCATCACAAAGAATAACAACTGTCCTGAAAGAAATATTTACTAAAAGTTGGGCGCAGCGCCGAGCCACTCTTCCCGGCATTTCAAGAAAAGTCAAAATTGACTCTTATACCAATTTCTAGTACAATCGTACATGGATTCCCTAGTTGCGCAATTCAATTAGGTTTTCTTGTTCCTCTTAACTTGAAGAAGACTTCTACCTATGATATAATTTTATGCTTGGACACTAATTCAAGCAAAAACACCCAGCAACTGAAAGTGTCAACAGAACATGGACAAAAAGTGCCAAGCTGTAGGGCGATACACTGTCATGGTGTCAATTAAGTTTTTCGCTAAGTGTATCGTTAAAATCTGGATTTCTGAACCTCCAGAGCCATGAGGAAAAAAGTACGACACAAAGTCTGCTCTTTCAAGGACGATGAACAATTTGGTCTTGAACAGTGAAAATAAGCGAGATCCCACAAAAAAACTGCACCACCCATTTTTGAGTTGCAAAAAAAAAAAAAAAATGTGAGGCAGAACTAGAAGTAATACAGAAACTTTTCAACAACCCTGAAAAGAACCTCCCTAAAACAAGTTATACTCAGTTGTAACACTCAAAATAAGGAGTCTTCAAGGCATTAACATGGAAAGACTGCTCTTCTCACTTCTATACCGGTGACTATGCCGCCCAAACCGTTTGGCAAAATTTCAAGGAATTCGTTTTAAGGTGACCTTCTGCGTCACTCCTCTTTTTGTCCGTGATATACTAAGCGCGCCATATCAACGCGGGAAAAATATAAAATTCAAATTTTTTTTTTTGCATTAGTTAGGCTCCTTTGTCCAAGAGCGGCCGTTGTCCCGATTAGGCTGGGGTGATCTGTTTGTAGTTTTTGTTCGTTATTTTCTTGCTTTTTTTTTTTGCTTTTAGGTGCTTGGGTTAAACTTGTTTGGTGTTTTTTAGACTGTTTGTAGATGTATAAAGCTTGTTACTTGTTGGAAAATGTTTTATGTGTTTGCGCAACCGAGAACTAGCACTCTCTTTGCTGGTATTTTTCATTTACAGGCCGTTTCAGTAACCGTCTGTTTTTTGCATTTGTCAAGAATTCAGG